CCCCCCCCTACCCCGGAAGTGGCGACGGGCGCGGAGCGGCCGTGGCCGGGGTGCGGCGCGCCGCGTGCTGGGAGCTGTAGTCCTCGCGCCGCGCGGCATGCCGGGAGCTCTCGCCGGGCGGCCATTTCGCGGGGCGCGCCGCGGGGCACGCCGGGAAACGTAGTACCGGCAGCAGGGCGTGCCGCCATCTTGTGGCGTTGCCAAGGAGGTCTCACATCTGTCAGAGGCGGCTTCTACTTATTTCTGTGTTCAGCCAGCCAAACGTCTTCGGTGCACCTCCGCAGAACTACACGTGTCGCAGAGATCAAACCGCCTCAGAACTGCTTTTCTCAGTAAACTCATACGTGAAAGTTCACATGTAGATCGCTAAGGCTGCATCCAGCATTTCACACTCTGGTAGGCTTCCCCTCCACCCTCTGTGCACAAGCAGCAGACCAACGCCATCCTGCAGCCAAGCGTGCCCCGGGCATCTCTTCACGATTTCTGAAGCCTTCCTTTCATCAGGCATCAGCACAATGCATACATGCAAAGGCCAGAGAGAGAACGCATGAGAAAACACTTCTCAGCAGAACAGACAAGGACAGACCATCAGTAACCCCTCTTATTTCGTTCTGCTGGCCCACAGAAGGCAATGGATGTTCGTGGTGTGACAGCAGAGCTTGCACCACCCCGCTCACATCGTTAGGTGCTGCAGCCGTGCGACAGATGGCAGCAGAGGGGCACTGACCAAACGGTGCCTGACAGGGGAGTGCGCATGAAGCAAAGGCGTGGAACTGAATTCCTGCTCGTGGAAATAATTGCACTCAGTAACAATGGTGAATTGGTGGACGTCTATGGAGACCAAGCAGTAGAAGCGAGCACAGAGTTGGACTTCACGAGCAATGTCTTCCTAGCAATGACACTGCCACAGCAGCCGTGAAACAGTAGGTTACCTGTGCGTATGCGGACTTGAGTGTCTGCAAGCTTTCTTTCTTTGCTGATTAAAACACTTAGCTAATGGTTGGCAACTACATCAAAAAATAGTGTTTCGTAGCTGAGAATTAGCATTATTTTGCTCTTTGTACCTGTTGTGGTTTTGATGGAAATAAATAGGAGGCATTACTTTCAGAACAACCTACGTGCATCAAGGATTAAGTCAGACCTGAACAGTATTTTGTGTCCAAGCGTGAAGACCTGCACACAGCCTAGCAAAGTTCTGGCAGTACTTCCACTGACTTCAGACGCAGGATTAGAGGTGACGGGGGCAAGAGATTTCTGATCTGAGAATTTGGACTATGTCACAATTACTTTATGCCTGGCATTTAGTCACTAAATGTGACCTAACATCTTACTACAGTTCAATCCTCATCAGTTACCCAGGTTAGGGTTTATCACAGGCTGGGGACGCTAGATGTAAGACCACTGAATGGCACAGCTACTGAAGATGATCACAACTGCTAAGAGGAAAAGCTTCCTCACAAATATAACATATGGAGCTGCACGATTTCACCATGAATCTTAGCGGCGTATGTTGTATGCAAGTAGTGTTACAATGCTTGGGGGGACCTTGCACTTCTGTCCTCTTGTTTAAAATTCTCATCTACCAGTTTTAGGAAAGTGGGACGACTGCCAACGATTAAATCGTTGCTTTGAATTGAAAGACCTCGGCTCGCCCGATGAATTAGGTGGCCTCTTGGAGATGGCAGAATGACAAGTGTCATTATGAACAAGTACAGGTCCAAGTACATCCCTGTGACTCACAAACAGAACTGATGGCACAGCTCCTGTTGTGTGCATTTCCTTCTGGGGTTCGGGTAAGCAGGGGGCAGCGGGGCAGCTTTAAGACTAAATACTTTCACTGCATTACACTGATGAGCGTCACGTAACTTGCTCTCAAGAAAGTGCAAGAAGTCATCACGGCATGTAAAGATCTCACTGTTTGGATGTGCTATTGAAGTACAGTCTGTGCATTAGCTGTTTACTGACATTTCACCACGGTCTCCCTGTAGTCTCCAGCCAAGCTGCTATCACCACTGTATGAGACACTTCAACTTTCACTGTTCTCACACAGAAGGCATGGGGCATATCCTCCTCTTTGCTGGAGGATCCAACAGCAGGAGGTGATGTACTGAGGAGACAAGTGATCGAGATTTTCATTTCACAAAGCACACCACCACATCTGCCAGATGCATTTACTCAACTGAACTAACTTCATCAGGGTTCAGCCTCGTGCATTTGAAAAAAATCATTCTTAGCACTTAAGAATCCCCACAGGTCAGGAGTTTTGGGTTGAAATAACCACCCCGAGTCATCTTTATCCACATGAACATGGTGTGGCTTGAACTTAACTTTTATGATATTCCCCTCAAAGCTAAAGAAATAAAACTGTCAGCAGAATATACCTACCAGTGTTTTAACAAGTGATATTTTAATTTGTTTGGAAATGGAAGAAGTTTTAGAAAAGAGCAAGAAGTTATTTAGTAAGCTTCGAAATCACAGGAGTTAAAACATGCAATTTCAGGACAGCTAGAGTTTCAGTGTGCTATCATGAACAAGGGATTCAAGAGCTCAGTAAACACAATGGTTAACATGCCAAACATCTGTACAAGTTACTGTTGCCTAGCTTTGTTTATTGGTAAATCACTTTAGTAACCTGAATTCACAAATAAGCAGTAAATAACAAAAACTACGGATAAACACAGGTTACACATGCAAATTCCTGTTCACATATCACATGTGCAGGTACATTAAGAGCACAGTTCTAAAAGATTCTTGACAAAACTAGATCAACAGAAACAGTTTTAAAATGCAGGTATGAAAAATTACACGTGAAGGATATAAAGATACTGCTTTTTTTGATTATTTTTCTTTTTTCTTTTTTTACATTTCAGGACTCAAATGCTGCTTTTGAATATAGCAGAGGTGTACGACAGCTGCAAGATTCAAGTGAGAGCAGGAAGAGCTTGAGGAAATAATACTGATCAGAAGAGAATGGGCGTTTACTTGTCACTAAAAATACAAGGTATAGCTGAGTAGGAAAGTCTATCAAGAGCTTAGGAAAAAAAATCACAAAGTTGTAAAGCTGACTAATCACTAATTTTCCTATTTGCTATGTAACAACAATGACATTAAAAGAAACTGCAATTCAACATTTAAAAATGCAACTTACATTTAAAGACTTTTCAAAAGTGAAATGCAATGACAGCCTTACACTCCAAATTAAGTATCTGCTAGGCTCAGACTGAAATACGGAATGTTCTAGATGAAATAAAAATGCAGTGTTACTTTTTATTTTTTATTGAGAATGGATAGACGAATTTTCGAAGCTTGAAAGCAGTAAATTTCACTTCAAGGAAATTTTCTTGCGGTAGATGAGCTTTCCACAAGGATGCAAGATTTCTTCTTTAACAGCTCAGTGTCAAAACGAAAACTTGTTGCCATTCCCACATTAAGAACAAATTTTTTTCATTAACTTAACTGCTTATGCTTTTTGCTACAACACTGAACACATGAACAGACCTATAACATCTACTGTATCTCACTAAAACAAAACAAAAAAGAATACAGTATTTCCATCTACTACTTGTACTGCTTTTAAAAAAAGATTAACATTAAGAACAAAGCCACTGTTTTCCTTACATCCGTCCTTCTTTTTACGCTTCTTTCTTTTGCCTGTAGTCTTCTGCCATTTTATCCAGAATTTTCTGTTAAAAGAAATCGACCACGTTTTGGATATACTCAGTTTTCTCACAGTCACAACATTCAGCCCATAAAGATTAACCCCGTTTTCACCCTGTAAAAACCTATGAACGTTGCCTTCAAAGGTAAGAACAAACATCACAGGCACTTCTTCACAAGAAGAAATGGAGCAGAGCTCCTCTGAAGCACTGGGTTATCATTACATCCCTGAGCACACAGCTCACCAACAGCAGGCACTGAACGGCAGCCGTGCAAGCGCTCACTTGGCCTCCTAACAGGCCAGCAAGCGAAGGGAGCGCCCTGCCCACTGCCATGCATCTATGGCTGCAGCTGGGCCACTTACCTGCTGCCATTTGTTCTCTCCCCTCTCTAGAGAAGGGTTACGTCAGAAATTTGAGCAATTTGGCATCACTTTGACTCCCAGCCAGCAACGTGCTTTGCCATTGTAAATCAAAAGCTGCTTTTCCCTCCTCCCTCCCCAAAATTACAAGGCACACAAGAGCAGCTCACTTTCTATTTGTGCCATGGAAAAAGGAAATCAGGATTCATTTAAGCATCAAAGCTAATAAGCTGCTAACAGGTCTCCGCATCATTTGCCCCACTTCCCCATTTACATCAAGCCTTCAATGTCCCCAGATCAGGTACCTCAAATGGGAGAAAAAGGGAAAAAAAAAAAAGAAAAAAAAGCTATGGGTGATGGATGAGGTGGGTTTTTCTTACTACTGGATTCTGCATGGTAATTGGTTTTCTCATCTACTCCTTGATAAAGTTACTTGCTTTGAGCCATTTGTTTGTGCACCTGCCTCCTAAGTGCATAGCCCTGCATTTGTTCCTGGATTGCCTCGCATTGCACAGGAGAAAGCAGACGTTTCCAGGTCTGAGATACCACCATCTCCCTTTCTACAGAACCCATGGGCTTTGATTTCAGCTCAATAATCAACCGAAATGAAATCAAATGATGTGAACACTGCATTATTAGAGCCTTGTTTAGAACTTCCCTTTCTGGGAAGTGGTATTTAGAAGCAGCTCACAATACAAAATACAGCAGCAGCATTACCATTCATGCCATGCAATCATGTGATACCTCATCCAATTAGGAACTGTCAAACATGCTCACAAAATCAGAAGTTGCAAATATGGATTTTCAACAAAAATATTTAAATTTAGCTTACGGTCTGCTGACCAGACTCAAAGGCCAACTGGAGAAGATCTGAGCCACCAGGATTTACTTGGTGCCACTAACTCTAAGCCTGGCCTCTGCTCCAATCAGAATGCCCTCTTTAATCCAAGTTTGCAAAAAAATGCTGGAGCCCATCTTGCACAGTGTGTATCCTGGGTACTTTTTTCAAAAGATGATGTTTTAGAGAAGTCTAGCTTGAGTTAGAAGTTATAGAATAAGCCAATTTCAACTGCCTGGAAGCTTTTTTTTTTTTTTCTTCCTCTTCAGTCCAGCCTCATTCAGATCTATTCCCCAAGGAAAGAATCACGCCACTTAAAATGAACAAGTTTTTGCCTTACCTTCAACTTTTGATAATGAGGAAGGCTGCTGCAATGGGTCTTTTTTGCAACATCTTCATTTGTGTAGAACAGGGAACACAATTTGCAATAAAACCCTGTTTTGGGTACCACATAATTCACACCTAGAGAAGTAAACACCACAAAATAAACTAAGAGAACTACTCTACATCATTTCTTTAATGTCATATGTCATTTCAAGCTAAATCTTAAAACCATAACCCACTTTACATTAAAAGCTGCTTTGTCCTTAGAAGTCTTTGGTTTAGTTTAGACAAGCCAGGGGCCTACAGTAATAGCTAAATATGTGCAGACTTTTTTTTTTTAAATCAACCTTTCAGTTTAAGGGTTTTATTGATTCCTTCAAAAGAACTAACAGCGTTCTGAGACCAATCTGTGCCTTTTGAGCAGTCAGTATGAATCTAGGCTAATATCACTACTGTGATTTGTGCTATTAATTGAATTAGTGTTGCTAAAACACAGCTCTTCCAATTTAATTTCTGCCTAAGGAAAGTGTTATGGAAAACTGAATGAAAATGAGGGGGGGAAAAAAAAGAATACTAGAGGTAGGGGAGGAGTGAAGAAAAGAATGGAGAGCCCTAAAATGAAAGGCTCAGAGGCAACACACTGCCAGAAATAAAAGCCAAATGAAATGAGAAATGCTACTGCAGTGCACAGAGACAGATCGGAAAAGAAATGGAAACAGCCTTACCAACAGGAACATTTGGCTGGTAGGGCCCAATCCTAAATTCATCTGGAATAAGAGCTTTCTCTTGGACATTCTTTGTTTCCTGTTCTTCCTGGGTGTCTGTATTTTCGTGGGCATTTTTCTCAGGATCTTGTGCTGCTGTGGGGTCGGAAGCTTCAACAGCTTCAGCCTTCACATTTTCTTCAGTCTTGGTACCATTTTCTAACGTTTCACTTTCTTGTTCCGGCTCCTCAATCTTGTCTACTTTGATTTCTGCCAAACTATCATCATTTTTGCCAGCAGATTTTACTGCCAAACCCGACTTCCGGAGTTTTTGATGATCTGAATCTTCTTCATCACCAACCTCATCTAGAGTGACAAAGCCTTCCATGCTCCGTGGAAAGCCACCCACGTATCGCTGTTGAGAAAACGTTTTCCTTAAGTCACCTTATTCTTAACGGCTTCCCTCAAACCACCTTAACAAGTTCCCTTGTTCAAAACGTTACTCAGACATGCAGAAGTGTAACAGGCTCTTTCAAAAGGAGAACTGCACCGCTTCCAGAGTCAAGCGTTCAGTTTGGAATGAACATCTTAGCATCGTGTCCACTGTTTTATCACATCAATATCTGACCTCTGTCTTGATAATTTCTTTTTGTTTTTAATCTGTTCTTTTGAAAATCCCTCTACTGTGAAGTTTTTTTCAATTAAATGAATGTCATTTTGGAATGTAGTTTTTACTTGAAACAATCCCACAAGATCCTCAAATTCAAGCCTACGTGAAAGGCAGAATCTTACCAGAAATAGGTACAACAGTATGAAAGTTCATAAAAAGAAAAACTAAGAGCCCTCTTTCAACCAGTGGAAAGCCTGGAGCTTCTCCACTGAAAACAAACAAAAAGTGTGTGGAGGTCTCTTAAAAACCAGCTTCACCATCAGACAGCGAAACTGACAGGGAGACAGCAGTATTGCACATAATTAACAGCAAAACAGTAACAGTGAGAGAGGCAGCATTAGCTTTGTATCTGTGCTCTAGGAATTTCAAGGACAGCAGTTTGGGTTTTGAGGTGCTTTATCCTGACATGGAGCCACGCGACAAGAAACAGCAATGTTAACAAGACCGCACAGCTGCCTTCCTGACAGGATTCCCCAGGCTGATAACAAGCACACTGAATTCATTTAGAAGCAGGGAATATGCTCTTTTTCTACCCCTTCCTACCAAAAAGAAAAAAAAAACATTCCAGTCAATAAGGTTACTGAAGTTTTGCAAGCATTCTGCATCCTACTCCATGTAACCAAGTATGATTGAAAAAAAAGAAAAAAAGCAGCTGGTAGGAGAAACAACTATGAGAGCACGTGGTCATCTGGTGAAAAAAAATTAAGTTCACAGCAAGAAGCACATGGCTTCCAAGACCTCAGAACTAGAGTTTGGTTTTTTTTTCCGTTTCTCAATTGGAAATGGCCTTGGCTAACCCAAAGACTTGCCTGCCTTTGCAGCTCAGCATAGTTAGCAGACACTCATACAATTTTGTTCAGGTCTAAAACAGCCTCAAATCTCTTATGATCCCCCCAACCAAATGTCATTTTCTGTTCAGTGCTCAAAAGAGCAACTACAGACAGGCTTGTTAGGGATAAATAGCTTAAACAGCTTCCCTGGCTGCTTAGCATTAGCGAAGAAAGGAGCAAAGATAGCTAAGAAAAACCCCAGGAAATAATACGGGAAATGCACAAGTTAGTGACTTCTGTCAAAACAGAAACACTGATCTGTAACTGATTTCATTTGCAAGTTGCATCCAATGGGATCTTCTTTCTTCGTAGAAGCTTTAACACCCGTTTCTCTTCAAACAGGTGTGACATGCACACATTTTAAAGACCCACAGAAAAAGATTTGAAATAGAATACTGTGGTGCACTATTCAACTTAAAGAGTTTCTAGACTCAAGTAGCCTGCAATAGGATTACCTTTTTAAGCTTTTTCTTTGCTGCTGGATTGGCCACAGCATTTCCCTCGGTTTTTACGGTCACATCATCAGCCGGTTCCTTTTTCTCTTCTGTAGTCACATCAGTTAAATTGGCAACATCTGCATCATCTCCTGCTGAGCTGCCACTTTCCAGCAGCGCTGCTGCTTCCTCCTCATCCACCAGGAGCTCATCTTCAGATTCAAGGAGTAAACTAGGCTCGTCTTGGTCTGCCTGCTCACTGCTTTTAGCGCCCGACGGCTCAGCAGCATCATCTTGCTTCTCCTCTTTTGCTTTATCTTCTACAGTGCCACTTTCAGGTTTCTGAGTAGCATCAGTTTTAGACTTCTTATCACTTGGAGAGTCTTTGCTGTCTGGAGAATATGTTCTCTTTCTGCAAAGAAAGAACGCTTGCTTATGAATCTGAATAGCATCCAGAAGGGACTAAAAAAATAGCAGGCTTAGCTCTTCTGGACAAGCTTCAGAACTGTGTTTGTTTAGATCAGAAAATGGAAACTTGAGGGAAACAGAATTCAAGCATGCAAGAGGCTGCTGCAAGGAGGAACTGTCCTTTTGAGACAGGACAACTGCTCGTAGGTTTAAACTGCAGGAAGGCAAGGATAATTAAGGACTGCAGCACATTTCCTGAGCAGCCTGGGGAGGCTGTGAAGTCTCTTTCATTAGAGGAAAAGGATAGGCACCATAATAAAAACAGTTAATCTTTTTGCACGAACAACATGATGATCTCAGAGCTTGCCAGACTTCTTCTGTCTAATTTCTATAATTTGGGTAGGGTACTTTCATATTTCCTTTTAAACAACATCATGTTTTAATAACAGGCAGTTACCTAGTTTTATCCTTTTTCAGAAGTTCAACTCCCTTGTTTGGAATCTGAAATTAAAAGAAGAGAAGTCTTAAGTCACAGCAAAGTATAATTCATAGTAATGTTGAAAAATTGTTCTATCTGGTCTGAGTTAATGTAGTCAAGCACTACCAACTACATTAATCCACAGGTACTCTTCTACAGTGCCCAGACAGCAACCAATCGATGAATGCTGAATTGTTCATCGAGAAACCCCACCTGTCTTCACCAAAACTCCCTAACTCAGCACAAAGACAGGGCAGTCTGCTCGAGATGTTACGTACAGCATCTATGAGCTGATTCAGCACGTTGCAGGCAGCACCACAGGGCAGCCAGTCCAACCTTCTCACTACAGTTAGGAGCAGGCAGAGCAGGAAGCTGCAGACTCGCATCGCCGTGCTTATTTAGGAGTTACTGAGTAGGAAATCCCACTTATCCTCCACGTTCATAAGGCACACGTAGATGCACTGGCTCAGTGTTTGAATTTGTCACAACAGTCATTTTTGGTGCACAATCATATGCAACAGCAAGACTTCTAGACCCTTCATCCCGTCCTCCACCTCAGAGCACCACGCTCCTGCTGTGTCATTTAAGCAGCCAAAAAAAGAAAATTCTATCCTGAATTTTCAAAGCTGTGCTGAATTCTCAAGAAACGAGGTGTCTTCTACCTCACTTCACACCTCCACTTACAATCAGAAAACAGTTTGCAACTAAAAATACAACTTACCCTTAACACCAATTTCTTGTATTTTTCAGACAGATCCACTTTCACACATCTGCCTTGGAACCAGAGAGCTTTGTTGGCACAGTGTTCAACCATCGCTAAAGCATCTTCCCTGGTCTCCATTTCAATGAAAGCCTGAAAGGATTAAAGCACACGTCACAAATTACAAAATACACAACGCTTCCACGGGCAAAGCTATTTAACTTACAACACAGCATTTCAAAATGCTGAAACCAACCTAGGAGAGTGGCTCTATCCAGGTCCTCCAAACCAGCCACACATTTTAGTACATGCTGAAGTGTCCTATGTAAGCTTGCCTTTGAATTCAGTAGTATCTGTCCTCTACAAAGTTTACAAATTAAGTATCAGGTATTTAAGTCATTTGGAAAAAAATGACACCTTAAAGTGAAATACAAATAGCTAAAAAAGCACTTCTCTCATTTACTTGGAGCTGAAGGGTTTGGGAGTTTTGAGGTACTGAAGAAGCTGTACTTTTTTAAGAGAAGTCTGAAACAGAAAAGCAACAGATAGTGGCCGAGAAAAAAGCAGTCTTGCTTTGTGAGGTGTTCCTCCATGAAACAAGCCTATGACACACTGGGTTTGCTGAACAAGCTTTTAAAAGCACATCATCTCAGCCAGAAGAGAGCTGCTTCCACACCAAACAGAGCAAATTCCTTTTGTTTTTCCTGTGCAGTACGGTTAGGCAGGACATCTTAGGGGTCATACAATAAATTCAACTTATTTCTGACTCCAGAACATTGTGGGATTCCAGAATTCATCTCTGACAAAAATACTCTCATTTCCTCTGTAACTGAAGGTAACAGAAACAACCAGGGAAGTTTAAAAGTTTTTTCAACTCTGCTAAATATCTGAAATTCTTGTGTACAAGTGGCAGTCATATATACACATGCATTCAAAGTGTTTTACTATGCGTGTGCAATACACCATCTTCTTTTTGAGAGAAACACAGAAGTGTTTACTTAAAGAACGAAGGGGAAGAAATGTGTCATAGAAGACAGGTATTAATGTTTCACAGGTAGTTTCTTCAGTCTTACAAAAAGTTCAAAATGCCTTGAGATATACACAACAAAAAGCCTCAATGCAAAATTATACCTCATAGCTAATGTCTGCTTTTACTGTGTCTCTTTTCCCCTTTTTTTTGAAGCAGCTCACATTACAGCGACTCACACAGTGAGCTAAGCAGCAAACCACCTACACAATTTCCATGTCTGTGCTACAGAAGCAGCCTGCATTTCTTCCCAGTTGTGTCTCAGCTGCCATCCCCCCATGCTAAGTTCCTGCAGTCAGTTACCTGACTCTTCATCCTCATGAGTATGTAGTTCTTAATCTTTCCATACGGTTCAGCCAGTTTGAGCACTGCGTTATCAGAGTAGCCTGAATGAGGTAAATTGCTGAGGTGAATCACACGACCCAGTTCTGGTTTTGGTGGCTCCGTTTTTTGGTCAGGTTTACTTTCAGGTTTCTAAAATTAAAAAGTGAATGAATTGTTTAAAGTAGATACTGCAAGAAGTACACTTAACACTGTGCCACTTAAAGCAAGTAGTAAATTATACCCCTTGATTAATTTGATATAGCTGTCAAGTACATAAAGTAACAGTTTAAAAGCAGTGGCCAGGTAACAATCACTGCCTCAGACTGAAATAGTGTTTAAATAAGCAGAAACATTTTACCTTTATCCTTTTGTATTTCTGTGACAGGTGGACTCTGACTGGTTTACCAAACACCAGTGCAGGTGTTGTTGAATAGTACTCCACTGCAGCCTGAGCATCTTCAGTGGTTGACATTTCAATAAATGCCTGAAAACGTCAAAGCAGACTGAGCACCACACTTTCAAGGAATTGCTGTTTTTGTTTAAGGTCTCAACTCTCCCTTCCTTTCTCATAAGAATGTCTGCTTCAAAACCAAAGACTGCCTTTTGGCTATGGCATTAACTGGCCTATAGGACTTGGCATGAATTTCACATATTTCATGTGCATGAACACAGCATTTTAGATTTGGATTCAGAACATTCAGTTGCTTCTTGCACTATGTATAAACTATGACTGAGTTTTCCGAAGAACATTAAAACACAAATTGAATTTGCAAACTGTATTTTCAAGAAAGCTAGAAATAACCAGCTAAAATGATTCCTGACAATATTTAAGTTGAAATGCAGTACTACAGTATCTGTAAAAAGAAACAGTCCTGTCACTCTCAGCTTGGTGACGTGTTACCTGGCTTAGAAGCCAAGCACATCCTTTTACCAGAATTTTTAAACTCAGTAAGCACACCAAAGAAACCCAGCAGCTCCAACAGCACTAATGAAGGGCTAATCTTACCTCATTGATTTTGTTGAGAATCAGGTGATTTGTGATTATTCCAAAGGGTTCAACAAGCTGAAGCAATTGATATCTCAAGTTCTTCCCTCTCTGGAAATCCATGATGTGAACAACTCTGCTGGTTTCCTATTGAGGATGAAGTGCACACACAACACACAACACATGTACCAGCTAACCTTAAAGTAACATTTTTCAAGGATCTGTTCTTTTTTCATTCGTTATTGTTTTACAAAGCCTTAATTAGTAGTCAAAACCAGACAGGCAGAAAACACACAGCACCTCCAGGGATTCTCCAAGGAAGACGCTGCTGTGACAGCTGTGCACAAAGGAGATTGTCTCTTACCTCCTTCATAAGAGAACATGCAGAGTGCATACACTCCTGAAACAAACATTTTGTAGGATATTTGGCAAAATGAAACTATCTCTTTCCAAAGCTTCAATATTTCCACACCAATAAATCTTAGTATCGTTCTATTTTAAAGACACTCCACTCGTTACATAAAAAAATACAAAACCCAATACATTTTATTAAAGAGAAAGCATACAAATACTTACATCCTTCAAAGACTTTACATTTATTTAATACTAACCACTCTGCCCTTCTGCATGTGTCTGGGTCCTTGCATGTTTCCATTTCCAGCTCCTTCAAGAAATTAAAAAAGAGCAAGCTTAGTTCAACTCACAAGGCTGCTATTAGCAGCTTCATTACAAGTTCTGGACAGAACTCAGAACACTAAAACAGTATTACATCAAGTTTTAAAAAGCCACGTAAGTAGTATCACTAACTGATAAATTAGTATTGCCAAGCCTAAAATGGCTGTTAATCTTGTATATTTCAAAAATCAAGTCTGAGATGCATTGGAAAGTTTACAATAATACTGTAATGACATTTAAATACTCATCGTTCAAAGGCTCCTCTAAAATGCCTGAGAGATTTTTTATCAGCCAGGATTAGGTAAATTAATTAGTTTTGCTTTTTACTCACTCGAGTTATTTATAAAGTAAGTAATAATGACTTTAGGTGAGAACCTGATTCTCATCTTGCCCTTCTGGGAAGATGAGGCTCCCAAATCTATTTCTCAAATCCATTTCAAATTAGTTCAGGGAGAATAGACTGAAGACATTGAATTCCTCCCAGTTTCACAAGAATCCACCAACACGCAGGGAGCAAAACAGAATCTGATGTAACAGATTGCTGCACAGGAAAACATGCGTGACCCCAAAGCACGCGTTGGTCAATTAACCCAACAGCTGAAAAAAGAAACCCGTGATAACGTGTCCAGTAGTTAGGAGAGGGAAGAAAGGTGGAAGTGTGGAAACAAAGTATTTATGGTGAGGAAAACACGCAAAAGCATTTCAGTCCCACCCCTCAGAGAGCACTGCTGTGTTGTTCTGTAGCACTGAGCAGAACTCAAGTCTGGGAGAAGTAGAGGGTTTTGTGTCTTTTTCAAAAAAAGCAACTAAAGCCCCAGGCACAACACGTGCAAAAGCTGGTGCTGACTGCTGTGACTGTGCACTGCCTGCTACCAAAATATCTGGATGTAATAAAAAGCTTCAGGAACACAAGTGATTGAAGCCCAGTAATTCCTGAGAGCTGATTTTCAGAAAGGGGCCTCCAGTCTGATGCCTGCCAGCATTACCTCTTGGCCCAACAGGAGGCCCTCCCAGGTGGAATGGAGGTGGTGGGGGTCCCAGAATTCCTGGTGCAGGATTTGTGGACTGCTGCAACATAAAGGGATCACCCCTAGGAAAAGGGAAAAAGAATGAGAACAAAAACTGGGAAGCCTTTTTTTCTCCAGCCATCCAATTCCCGACGAGTATCCAAGCACAAGTCAACCTGAGCTGCTTCTCCTGGCTCCAAATGGGAGTTTGAAGAAGGTCGGTTGTTTCATATTAGATGTTAAAAAAACGGCTCCAAATGAGAGTAATAATTTTCAAAATTAGTTTAAAGCATTTAAATTAAATAGCAGCCCAAACTACACAGCTTTGATTAGAACTGTACTGCTTAAACCAGCAGAAGAATGGCAAGTCCACTGTCCCCATTCATTACTTACATTCCATGTCCTGAATCACTGTCAGGGTTCCATTCTGGATATCTTAAGAAAAAAAAAAAAAAAAGAATAAAGGTAAGAAAAATCCAATCTCCTCTCACTATGTGGTAATTTTCGTATCTATTTTCATATAGGCTGCAATACTTTACATATTACATAAGCTGCAGTACCTAATTACAAAAGGGAGTGCTCGTCTTTATGAGAAAATTCCTACCTTCAAAGTAACACGGCTGCTGATTTACATTATAATTTGCATAGAATAAGCTCATTTTACAATAAAGAAATAAATAAAATCTTGGCACAAGCCTGATTAGTAGAAAATAAAGCTGCAGCAGATTCACAAATAATAGGATGCAAACAAATGGCCTCAAGGTGCATCAGGGGAGGCCCAGACTGGGCAGGACGCTCCTTGAGGGAGGGAGGGCAGGGGTTGGTATGGGCTGGGGTTGGTATGGGCTGGGGTTGGTATGGGCTGGGGTTGGTATGGGCTGCCCAGGGACATGCAGACCCATCCGTGGGGGCATCTGGGGCAGCAGCAGGACTCAGAATTTAAGAACCAGCACTCCTGCGTCCCAAAAAGGCACTTTTCAAGTAGTGTATCTTTATTCCCTGCAGCACACAGCTGACGGTTACTTATACTGCTCTCATGCCACAAGAATGTTTACAGTACTTCAAATTCATACATTTCAAGCAGCAGCTGACAGCGCCGGCCGTGAGTCGCTCCATTGATATGGTGATTCCACTCCTGCAGCAAAGTAAATAACTCACAGTTACCGGCCACACACCACAAGCTACTTCCAACACAGTAACACTGCTGTAGCAAACCATCTTCTCTTCTAAACTCAGCATCTAAGGTGAACGCACAGATATCAAAATACTTTTTTAGAGTTCTGAAGACACACTGAAACTGGACCTACTTCTCAACCCCAGTTTGGGTGCAAAGGTGTCTGATGAAAGATGCCGTTGGGCTTCACCCTGCCTCCAACACGCGCAGCTTGCAGGCTACCTGCTGTAGCTCACGTGTATTGCTGACGTTCCAACCTGCACAATTGCTGAGATTTTTAATTTTTTAATTTTAATTTGGTGGTTTTTTTATTTAGAATTTTAGAATTTCCTCTACTCTCTGCTTCGTTCCTCGGATTATCAAAGATGAATGTGGACTACAGACTCAAGTTTCCAAAGCCAAGAAAGAGCCAAGAAACTGCAAGGAATTCAGAAAGGAAAGACTAAAAGAAACAAAAGTGCATAGCTAGGACAAACTACAACTACACATGTGAAATATAAAAATTTATGAGCATTTGAGGGGAATAGTCGAGAAAAACGGGATCTAATCAAGATGGTAGAAAGGAGGAATAATAGAACTACATCAAATTACCTCAGTATCACAGTGAACTTCTTAGTGGAAATATCCATCACGTACAGAGCAAAAGTTGGGAGAGGTCAGCAGCACAAAGGGTAACACACCATGCAATTGCTGAAGCTACTAGAGCAGAGCCAGCATCTTGGCCAAGTGCAGTAGCTGTACCCTCCAGGCTACCTGAGCTCTTCTCCTCTCACTGGTATTTTTGTACTATCTGGGGCTTTCCAGCATCTCTGCTTCTGGCCTTAACACAGAAAGGAACGAGGCCTTCTACTTCCCTGCATCTTATACTTGTTACGACAGGAGATCACCTCCCTGGTTTTTTATGTCAAAAAGGGGCACAGGGACTCCTCTGGGAGGTACTCAGCCTGACCATCAGATCCCGGTGTTCTCACACACACCAGCCCCAGCGTGCGCTCTACTGCAGTGACAGAACTGAAGTGTCACTGCTGCAGCTGGCTGTGTCACACCCTGGGGTTACCTCCACTCTGCTGCTGTGCAGTAAGCCAGCGACCAGCAGCAGGCGGATGGGACAGGATGGCTCCACGTCCACAGGGGAGAGTAATTACATCTCCTGGGGGGCAGTGAACAACAGATGGGCTTTCATCGGCTGTATTTTGGGATGCAAACACATACGCTGCATTGGGCGACTGTTTTATACATCTTTTGTTTTAGCTAGAGGATTTCCCAAGCCCTGCCCTTCCCTGCTTTGTCCAGTTCCACACTACAGCCATCCTCCCTGCAGCGGGGCTTCCGTCTGCGCGCCCTGAGCCCCCACCTTGTGCTCCCCACCAGGAGAACAAACTGCATCCCACATCTCCCTAAGTACCAGCATTAGGCCACGCTGTGCTGTTACACTCCATGATACACAGAAGAGAACATGGAGCAGGATGAATTTATTTTTAAAAACAAGGTGGAAAATGAGCACTTCTTGTTAACCACACAAGATGTAGGCTCTGCAACTATAAATTACCAAATACGCTTGCAATTAGGATGCAAACAGGAGCCCCAAAGCCCCACGAGCAAACCCCCTATCTGTGAAACACTCGGTACTTTAAAGCAAATATTCTTCAGTTTTAAAGCCAGTAACAAGTTCTAGTGCTCTGATACACAAAGCAGCCCTTCTAACACTAGCACCCCCTAAATTCAGCTGCACTCAGCCTCAATGTGAAGCCCCAATGGCTGACTCTGCAAGTACAGAGTACTGCAAGCACTGCACCTTCGGAGCTGCCTTAACATGTACTTGGAGATTATTATAAACTGAAACTGAAGTTATCTGCAAACCAGGGCCAAAGTTTGGGGATCTGATTCTCATACTTCAAACACTTTTTTAAACTGGCAAAGAAAAAAAAATAAGCAGGGGAGAGATCTGATGTATAAACTGGTCTTTTTTTTTCCCCCGGGGAAACTTTGCAGAACAACAACGGCTCATCCCTGTTATTCAGTTCATATTAAGTAGCCCTTCATCTACACTTTGCTTTGCTCCCTCCCCGTACCTGCGCTGAGGCGCCGCTTGTCTGAGGTTGCAGGGCCCTGGATATTTACAGACACTAATTAATTCTGGGCATTTGTGTTAAGCTAAGGAAATTCTCGATCGAGTTTATTAAAATGGAGATTACTTTGGCTTCAACTGATGCAAGAGGACACGCTGCTCTCTAGAAAAGCAGGCCAAACTTAAGCGCCTAATTTTAGATACTGCCTTATTGGGGACACAGCCGTGTTCTCCCTCTGAGATATATCACAGTTCCAAGTGATTAACCTCCAAACTCCTCTGCTCACACTGCACCAGGCTCTTTGCGTGCAGGGAAAGCAGTCGCTAAGCTTCAACACCCCATTCCTTGGCAGAGGGATCAAGATGGACTGAAAAGCTGGGCTAAACTTTGTTCCTCATTAGCCAAACAAGCTGGACCAGAGTCTGTATGCAGCAAATTAATGAAGCAGGTGGTAACATCACTAAAAGAGCAAAAAGAGGACTGGCCTGCCAGGCCCCAAGGGTAGCTGCCTGTCTCCTTGGGCTAAAACAGATACACTGCGTTGTCATATACTTTTTCTTGTTTTATATTCCATAGTATTTTTATTTGGGGTTGGGAAAGTGAGGTTTTGATATTATTATAATGAGTTTATATTGTCCTAGCTAAGAAAAGCATTCCCTTTCTGCTTTCCATACATTCTGGTTCAAATCAAATTACTTCAAATGGTAAGTTCTACTTGATTTAATTTTGTGAGAGATACAGAATAGGAAACTCTGTAACTGTTAGATATGCAAAGTGGAGGAAAAAAGGAGAGAAAGAGAACAATTCTTGCCATAACGTCATTTCCGAAACAGAAACAAAACCCGAACTCGGGTCATAAGAAACAGAAGATCCAATCTCAAATATTTTGTGGTGTTCTCAGCAGCTTATGGCAAACGTGTTACTAAAAAAGATGGGTTTGTGTGTCGTGGAAGGAGTCAGTCACGTAAGTTATGCTGTCAAAGGAATTTGGTGTCTCTTGTGCTTGGAAAGATACTTCAGGTTGGATAGCCTTTAATTAAACAGACCTTCATACCAAAGCAAACGAAGAATAAAGGCTAAAAAGAACCCTACTTACAGGAGTACTGGCTGCCATCTCCAAGGGCCTCAGAAGTTTACGTTCTCAATCTAACCAAATGAAATCTTTTATACAAAACTGAGTGTGGCAGTTCAGTTGTTCAGTTAAACCTTGTACAAAAATGAATGTCTTGAAAGCACGGAGACGAGAAACCCAGACTGCTGTGATTAACTTATACAAAGTCATTAAAGCAAAACAAGTCTGTAAAGCGTCAGATCAACTGGAGCAGCACAGCACGTGCTCTAACGTGCGTCCATCAGCTCCTGGTGGGGACAACTCACGTTTCAACAAGATGGGACGCACCGAAGCGGCACTCTGAGAGGTAACTGTAAAGAAACGGTTAGTAACAGCAATTCCACAGGGCACCAATTTCACAGCCACGGCATGTGCTGCCTTTCCAATTGAAGGCCAATGAGCCACTGCTCGTGACAAGAGGGGCACTGCGTTTGCCAATTAGCCAATTAAATCGCCTAGCACCCTGCAAATCAGCAAGACGAGTCAAATTGGAAAAGCTGAAAGTGAGAAGGCTCTGAAAACACCGTCTGAATAACCGGGGCATTGTGAGCAAGGAGCTCCCACTGCACAGAGCTGAACGCTGGCGGACAACGGAGAGGAAGCCTCAGCGGGACTGAAGGCACCCGAAGACCCAACTCTACCTGCCAGCCAAGTAAAGAACGCTACTAGGAACACAGAGCAGACACTGCAGCAGCAGGCTGATTGCTCGGAGAGTCTACAGGGATAGATGCAACATGGGACAATAAAAAGTGAGTTTGAAGTGTCTAAGAAAGTTGTGAAAAAGGAGAAAAATGACGACAAATTTCAGCCATAGTATGAGATAGAGTGTTAAAGTGAAATTAAAAAGGCAAGAATGAGCTCATCTAAAACGTGATTCATTTTTACTTATTCATTTTTAAACTTTTGCAAACAGGTTCCAGGGCTCTACATTAACTCTTTCCCTTTGGACAGGGAAAAAGCAGAACTGTGCAAGAGTGCATCTTAACTACATATAAATCGGCAATCAAGACAGATGTGGAGGAGAGCTGAAACTAGCTTCCTGAAGGGCACAGTAGATACACTGCAAAAAAACCCAAACCAACAAAAAACCCACCAAAAAAGTGCTTAAATGCCAGATGTTTGTGGTTAAGAGAACATGTAGATGTAAAATATAAATAAGACATCCCAGTAGATGATAGCTGTTTGACTGGAAGTTAAGCAATCTGGGCAAACAAAATACATTAATGTAAAGCCCTGGTTTACAACGGTTGTTAACAATTACTTGTAAATAAACCAAGTGCCTTTCTCACTCTCAAACCAACTTTCAGATCATTTCAAAAGCAACCAGGCTATAGAAATAATTAAAGAAATAGGTAAAAACAGAACAGGTACTACAACGTAAAGGAAAATAGAAGTATCTGGTGCATAACTCACCTTATTAGAATGAACTGGCATATCACATATAGAGCACAGATGGGGATAACCCTTCGGTAAGAATCCATGGAAGTCTTCAATATTGCTATTTGGAGGAGCACCTCTCTTTTTCTCAAAGAGAGATCTCTCGGGACCGGGGCCACGACCCATTCTGTCATACTCACTGTCAAATTTATGATAGTTATGCGAAGTCTCACCATAGAAAGATTCATCCCTACACCTTTCTCCATCTCTCAATCTGTCATCTTCATAATCCATTCTGTCATAATAACCAGATTCTTGAGAACGACTTCCATGGTCATAGTCAACTACCGGGTTGAGACTAGGACCACGATCATCAAAGCTATCTCTTCTAAAATGCCTTTTTTCTTCCCAATCATCCCTAGGTACTCTGTACGGTGGTTCCCGTGTGGATGATCTGCCATCTCTACCATAACCTTCTTCAGCTCTCCTCCTTTTAAGTTGTAGAAGGATCTGAGGCAAGTTTTCAGGAGTGATCTTGTCCTCGGGATAGCGACTCAGTTCATCTAAGTCTCTAGCAGACAGACCAAAGCTGGCCAAAATATTAGTGGCCTGGTCTGCATCTCCACGGTGCTGAGAAGACAAAGGGAGCGGACCTCTACTTCCAATGTTAAATATAGACTGCAAATTATGGGAAGAGGTACTACCAGAAGACAGTGCACTATGAGATCCTTGTTGGTTCAATGAAGAACTCATTCCAAGATTCATTAAGCTAGCAAGGCGTGCAGTACCCTGGTTCATCCTTCCAAGAGATGCTGGCATATTTAAAGACTGGGTAGCAGCAGCAAGAAGGCCTATTCCTGCAGAGAGCTCACGCCCATGACCTTGGGAATCCCTACTCAGAGATGACTGCTGGAATGACTTGGACATTGTAGAGCTATCGCTTGTCTACTTTACGGATCAAAATCTTTGTTTGTTTGTTTGGTTGGGTTTAAGATGGCTGAAAAGAAAGCTCGCACTACAAAGCTAGGCAAACTTCACTTCGAAAGCGGCAACGCCAAGAAAGAGGATCAATAATGACTGCAGATCTTCTTCAAGCTGAGAAACACCAGACAATTCTGTAGAAAAACAAGCAGTTTTAGTCACAAATCCCTTTAAACAGATGCAGTTTTAAACTTATGCATCATGTTGATCTAAAACATTAAAGATCTCAATCTTATAAGGCTTTCATCATATAATAAAACAGATACAAGATGTACCCAGAACCTACAAATATTGTTTCAGACAAAAATACAGCAGTATTTCCTGTACATACTACCACTCTTCTACAAAACAAACAAACAAAAAAAATAAACAGACTACTTTCATACCGAAGACAAGTGAATTTCAGAAGTTTGGGATGTCTGAAAGCATCTAAAGCTTACTAGCATATAAGCCCTGATCTCCGTTTTACGGCTTTGTTTCTAGCCTGCAGTGCTGCACTACTCTCTGTGAGAAGACCATATAAAAACCTTCAGTGCCCAGAATCAGAGATGACTTTGGCATATAACACACACTTGAAAATGAAACCTATACCACCACAGAACAGGACGAAAGGAAGTTAAAAGCAATTGAAGTTTGGGTAACAAGTTTCTGCTGTAAGATCTGGTAAACAAGACCAACCACAGTATTCCAATCTTTATGCAGTTAAAAATCAAATTACCGATGTGAAGATAGATGTGAACAAGAAAAACAAGTTTCAATTTTGTCAGGAAGTAAATAAGACCTCTTGCTCAAATTGCAGTTATACAGATAGCAGCACACAGGAAGCGAATCTTTACTGTTACATCGCAGCTGTGACGTCAGCCCGTACCTTCAGACCTCAAGCTAAGCAAGGTCAGGCTTAGTTGTGGGCTGGGAGCCCAAGGGAAACCTGCAGAAAGACCTGGGAGTCAGCAGATGGCACTGGGCCCCACGCGGCCCTGTGGGGCTGGCAGCTGAGGCTCCTATTGCTGCTGCTTCGCTCCTGGCACTTCTGGGACCGTGACCACACGTGGCAGTTAAAGATCCTAAGCCAGCACTCAGGAGAGATGTTCATCCCCCGCTGTCCTCACACACATCCCAACCTGGTGCTTAAATGCCCGATTGAACCCCATTTAACCTACATTTGTAACAGTATGCTTTACAGACTAGTGCCTGTATTCCGGGATTTCTTTTTAATGCACAGCAGGAATAAGCTGCGACACTTCTCTCCCACAGTCCTTCAGCCTTGGGATACGGACACAAAACATAAAGCGATTTGACACTCATGAAGCCATTCCACGAGGGACACGCTGCTCTTCCACCCCCAATGCAGTCACGTCCTTCCAAACCTCTGCAGCCATGTTTTGCTTTGGTGCTGCTCCTCATTTCCTTACGGCTTCAAGAAGAAACAGGCAGAAATCGCACAGCTCCAAACAAAACCAGCTCCTAAGAGCAGCCACGTTTAGGGAGGAATGGAAAGGGTAAAACAAAAGCAAGGATTTTTTCCTTGAAGAGTCCAGCTGTGCACAAGGCAATTTCTCTTGTACAGGAAACAAGAAAAAAGGTCACAGTTACGCGTGTGCCTCCTGCCCAGCTGCCTGCTCCATTCAGAGCCCTGTTCCAGCACTGCATAAAGCTCTTCCACTTTGTTTTCATTACTCTGTAAAGCACCTCCCATTTCCTTCTCATATTACGTACAAAAGCAGCACTGTTACCAAACTGCACTTCCAGGGAGAAAAATAATGAATACTGCAAGAGAAACAGCACCCAAAACCTAGCCAGAATTCCATCCCTGAAAATATCTGCTTTATACAATTTCCTGTAGATTCTGTTGTTTAAACTTTTGGGTTCACCTGTGGGTTTAAAACCCACATAATTTGGAGTTAGCTCCTAGCAAGTTTAATTGTGCAGTATTTGGTTGAGACTGAGATTGAGAAACATGGGATGAAAGGAAAGTATCTGAGGCAGAAGACACAAAAACACTGCAGAGAGCTGCAGGGGGAAACAGAGAAACAGAACAGGGGAGGGCAGAGGCAAATGCTGAGCAGGCATCCAGGACAGGCTGAACATCCTGAGGACTAACAAACAGCATCTCAGGGCTGCTATAAGAACCAAGAGTCATTCAAACGAGAGAAGACAGTCATATCCATCCATATTTTGTCTTACATACAGTTAGCACTCTTCTAACAGCCCCACAGTCCTTACCCCATTTCTATGGAAAACTTCCTTCTCTTTCTTTCGTGCATTCACAGAATGGTGTGAAACCAAACTTAACAGTCTCTTCATCAGGCCAGGTGTTGCAGAGCTTTGCAAAGCAGACTGTCACAGTGAGGCAGCAGGAGCCCTGTGGGCAGGCACGGTGTGTCCCGATGGTAAAGGGACTCCACAAGTCAGGATTCTGCTCTATCAGGAAAGTTCTCTGCTTTCCAAAATAACCCTTTCTCTTCGAACAGATGCTCGCTAATCCTCTCGTCACAATTTTCAATTGGCAGCTCATTGTCCACTGCTTTGCAGAGATTATCAGAGAACAAAACCTAACAGCCCAGCCCAGCACGGAACAGGGCTGCAGAGCCTGATTGGCAGGGCTTCGACCACACAGAGCTGCACAACCTCACCATGCTGCTGCAAAGCCCCGCAGGACGAAGAAGCAAGCAGGAGAAAAGTAAAAACAGGAAAATGAGGAGGACAATGAGACAAAGAAACAGAGGCAATCTTAGGGAAAAGCAGAAAGGAGAGCACGAGGACACTGTGTGCTGGTGGCACGCTCTGCCCTTAGCAGCTGGCGGCAGCGATCCGAGTGCTGGAGTTAGGGAAACTTCATCTGAGCCATTTACTCAGAGCTGAACATCTGTGACATAACTCGCTGCTCCGTCACATCACTCCTCTCACTACAGCTGTTGTGCTCCACTCACAACCAGCCCCACTCTTTCCGTTCGGAAGCAGACAACAAACGAAGGAGGGAGGAGAAGGCTAAAAATCAGACTGAAGAACTTTAACTCCCACGTGGTCAGGTTTGTGCACCGGCTGCTTAGGAAGGACCTCACAGCAGCATCCAGCAGAGAGAAGCTCTCAGCAGCCGAGGTCTGCTGGCTTTTAAGCAAGGGTGCCATCAACTGAGTCCCAGCAACAAGATGAGTGCGGCTGAACAAAGCCATCTAAAGATCCAGGTACGATTTAGCTCAGCTGGAAGTACTGCACTAATTGCTCTTCATGTAATTGCAGCTACAACAGGAACAGACAGGCTTTCAGATATACATTTTTAAGATCTGTGGTCAGAAATTTGGACATAGCGAGATTTGAAAATACACCATATGAAGCTGTCCTGAAATACGTTTAAAGCCAAAGTGTTAACAGATTTCCAGACAAATGTGGACAATGATCAAACTGCATCTGAAAGTTGCACGAGAGCTTTCTGCAAAGGCAGACAACAAAAGCAAGGGATTTGAATCCTACAGATACACAGCTGCCAAACGAAGGCCCAGGTAAGGCCGTAAGGCTGGTTTCTCAAACTACAGAATGACTCTTATTTATGGAGAACTGATTACCCCAATAGAACTGACTGAGCTCTGGTTGCACATCAATCAGTTTTGTTTCTCACAAAGTTTGGTCCCCAGGTTAAACGACCACCTCCTGTGGAAGTGTTTCAGCTTCCTATTCCTTTCACCACCCCGTTCCTTTACTATGCGTGTACACATTGATCCTGAATTCCTTAATTTCTTACAACACATCTTTTACCCATTTTTCTTCCACTATTGATAGAAAAGTCTCAAAAATAAGAAATGATGTTCACTTTCTATTCAGTTTCACTTTCACTTAAAAAAAACCCACAAAGTTTTATTAAATTCAATGTGCTTTGAGTAAATCCACCTACAATGAAGTCATGGAGTAATTCAGAAGCTGAAAAATACATCCTCAGTTTGCAGCAATAAGACTTTTGAAGAGCATGCAGCTTTGAAATGAAAGTCTGAAATAAAGCTTCCCCTCTGAAATCCTCACTTTTCAGACCAAGAGGTGCAGATTTTTCCTCTCCTTGAGGTGTTACTCACAGTGCAGCCGTTTGTTTTGCAACAACTTACTCTACCAGGGGAGAAGCCATAGGTTTCTCAGCAAACCATTCACATCACAGCACAAAGGTTTTCTACAGGAGCTCTGCAAGTTACAGATTCAGACCGACAGCTCCCCACCTTGCTCTGTGAAACAGCAGCAGTGAACACAAGGACCTGCACGGAAATTGGATGCAGATGTTTTCTGCTGCTGAACCACCAGAGCACTGATCCCAAGCCGACAGCAATCATTTCAGCTTGGACAATAAAAGGCTGCCGTTCTTCCAAAGGTAAAGGAGGAAGATCAAAATGCCCAGCAGAACACAGAGATGATCACCCATCTCAGGTAACAGCATCCACAGTACTGCAGGCAAGGAAACAGCTTTTTATGCTGGAGTGATCTTCAAAGGTTACGACCTCAAAAGAGTTCAGCAGCAGGAGCTGCAAGGCAGCATGCACAGCGCTGGGCAGCCTTACCGGCCTTGTGGAACAACTGAAACAGCCCCGATTCTCAGGGTTACGTTCAGCTTCATCTCAGTGAGTTGATCAGAGGAGCAGGTGAGATCTGCATTTACTAACAGAAGACTGCTTCAGAACAGAGAAATCACACATGAAAAGCCTTGTTTATCAGAGGGAAATTAACTACTTCAGCAGTTAAGACATCCTAAAGAACTGACCCGGTTTCTACCACTTGAGTGCACAACAGAGCACTGTAACAATAAGATGCTGAGCTCCTATTTCTGCTCACTACATAATTTCATCACCTCAAGCATCCCTTTCCGTGTAAAGCTGCAGAGCGCACTTACTCCCGTACACAAACAACAGGAGCAAACAAACACCCCTGGAACACCACAGGAAGAGTAAAGAAAGGAAAAAGCATATTTTAAGAAACGGAAATACAAGCGGCCAAGAATACACAGAATAAAAGCCACCACGGGCACTGAGTGCTCCACAAACAGGCTGGTACCTCTCCAGCTCCCACGCGCTCCTCCCCAGTCCTGCGGCAATCTGTGGCTGCGGGCAGCAGCAGCACTGCACACACAGCCTGCAGCACTGCCCCACCAAGCGCTGTGCCAGCAGCGGAGCCCTGCAGAACAGAACCACCTGTGAGCCCAGGCTGCGCGCTCTGGTGTCAATGACCACACGCCCATGCTCCTGTCAAAGGAGGCAGCTCCTACTCGTTCTCAGCAGTTTTGGAGATAAAAACTCTCACAGGCAAGGCCCATACCGTCACCACTTGTTCAAAGCAGGCAGATCAAACCAGAGAACAAGAGCAGCATTCTAACAGAGGTCTAATTGTCTTTTTTTTTTTTTTTTTTTTTTTTTTTTTAATTTTTAACTTCTGTGTTTTGTTCTGTTAAGCAATTAAAAAGCCTTCTGACAAATCAACAAGTGCAAGTCTGCCTGCAGGCGTTTCAAAAACTGGCATAAAAGTGCATTCTTTCCCAAGCAGAACCCTGCTCCCGATGCCAGAGATGCATTCTAGCTGCAGGCGTGCCCAAAGGAAAACCCTCCTGTTTGAGTTCTGGCTGCACAACACAGCACGGAGAGCCCTGCAAGGCGTGTTAGCTGAGAAACACAGCGGGGGATTTGGTATTAAGACTTGCTGACTGAGAGCGCTGAGAAAAAATGCAAGCAGCAAAGAGGCTGCACCAATATGTTCATAAATTAAGAGGCTGAAATAAAACCGTTTCCCTGCAGCTCTGCTTACCACAGCTACCGTAGGGCTGCCTCAGCGTTCAGCTCAGTGTGCGTGTGGCACAGAAGGGCTGCAATACTTGCTCAATTCTCTCTGAATTCATGAGCATTTCGGGGACTGAAGTTTTCAGAACACAGTAACTTCAGAGAGCTTTTCAAAACAGGCTCCCAGCACTGCAACCAACATAAGAACCACAAGAGATCTTTCCTCTGAAAAAGAAGAGAACATATTTGCGCTCTGAGTTCATCTCCTTGCCCAGCACAGGACAAAGGGCAGGGACACTGAGCACACATCTGCACAGGGCTCAGTTAGAACCACAGAATCACCAGGGTTGGAGAAGACCTACAGGATCGTGCAGTGCAACCATCCATCTGTCACCAACAGTTCTCAGTAAACCACGTCCCTCAACACAATGCCTAAACGTTCCTTGTACACCTCCTGGTCAGTTCCAGTTGCCAGCATCCTCGCTCACATCCCGTTATTCCATATCATTCACTCATGAATCACTTCCCGCATCTCCAAATACAATTCCAAGACAAAAGTTCACTAGATTCAGAATAACACACTAAAAACGTTAACATATGGTTTGCTACATTCTGAAGAGAAGGTGCTTGGATACATTACGACTTCTAACACATTGTGCTCCAAGGTTCACAGGGATCGAGCAGCCCTCTCAGCAACACAAAAGGCTGCCTCCGTGCTCGCAAGGCACAGAGCTGCGGGGTGCACACAGGACGTTCCGACAGGAGCAGCTCTCTGCCCAGTCGGGGGTGGGGAAGCAGAGCACCCACCCACCCACAGCCCCGAAGAACAGGGAGATGGATGGAAGAGCCCTGGTGGGTGGCTGAGAACAGCACCGGATGATCTTCCCAAAGGGACCGAAAGGAAAACGGCCACAGACTTCAGATGGATTTTTCAGCTTCCGCTCCGCAGCACAAAGGCTCCGTCGGAGCAGTGCAGCAGTCGAGGCTCCGACGTTTTATTTCAAACACGCTGCG